AATTCACTCACTTCCTAGATCTATAATAATAAACATTTTTCTATATTTGTTTTTATCACATATCTTTCTATCCACCAATCCATCTTCTTTTTGGTACATTTCAAAGTACAGTTAGTTGCCCCTGAGTATCTGTGGGAGATTGATTCCAGGACCCCTGGATACCAACATATAAAGATTCTCAAGTCCCTTATATAAAATGGCATAGTATTTGCATATAGCCTATGCACATCTTCCCAGTACTTTAAATTATATAAATTTCTTATAGCACCTAATATAATGTAAATGGTTGTTATACTGTATTCTTTTCATTGTATTTTGTATTGTTGTACTTTTGATCTGAGGTTGTCTGAATCCACAGATGCAGAATTTATGGATATGGAAGGCTTGTTATAAATGCCCCTCAGCACTCCAGCATGAGCATCATAAACTAGAATGCAAAATTTGCTTATGAGCTTCTTTCTTAGGTAAAAGTTACATATAGTAAACTATTGAGTTGTTCGGAAAGTCATGATGCATTTTTGTATAAATATGTCAAGACTTTCCTGACATCCTCATCCAATAATTAAGTGTACCATTTGCCAAGTTTGGGCAACACAATGACTGTAGCCATATTACCCACACCCTATCAAGATAGAACACAGAAAACTCCCTCACGCTCCTTCTCAGCTGCTCCCCACCTTCATCTCCCACAATCACTGTTCTTTTTTCCACCATAAATTGTGTCCGTTCCAGAACTTCATATAAATTACACCATATTACACAAAGCTTCCATCACTCAACACAATAAATATTTTGATGTTCATCCATGTTGTGGAATACATCGAAAATTCATTACTTTTTATTGCTGAGTCAGTGGTAGTCCACCATGTGAACACACCAGCATGCTTATCCACTCACATATTTATGGACACCTAGGCTATTTATGGTTTGCATCTATTATAAATAAAGCTACAGGAGGGCCTTCAGAAAGTTTATGAAAATTTGTACTGTGGAGACTATGCAGGAATTTCAAAATTTTTGTGCCCAAATAAACTTGGATTTTAATTCTATTCTTTCACAAGATTTTTGAAGTCCCCTTTTATTATAAACATCCATGTAGAATGTTTGTGGACATATGTTTTCATGTCCCTGAGTACATGCCCAGGAGAACTGCAGGGTCATAGGATAGGTGATTGTCTAATTTTATTGCAGTAATGTTTTAAATGTTGCCTTTAATGCACAATACGCATGCATATCACATCCTTAGATGAGGTTTGGGTGGTGAGGGAACGAGATACACATGTACTCACTTGCACAAAAATACTCTCCAAAGAGGATTTGTCACTAACGTGATTAATTATTGGCCACTCGCTCACTAGTTCTGTCTGCTTACAACTCTCCTTGGAGAAATGGAGCTCTGGCAGGATGGCTAGATTTTGTCTTTTGGAAACCTGTGTTTGGAAGGAATGAGATTAAATGCCTCAAGCAATTTTCTGGCTGCAGAAGTTCATAGGGAGAGAAATGACAGAAGTAGGTAGCATGGGCAGCTGGCTGCGAGCTGCTTCCTTCACTGCTGCCAGTGAAGGCTTGAAGAGGTTGTCTGCACTTGCCTCATGTAAGTTCTCACAGCAGCAACATCCACATAGCCAGCCCCTGCTCACGTCTGGAAACATCATTTTGAGAGTTTACAGGTTTCTTAGAGATCAGCACAGTGTGGCTAAGTAGCTGAGAACATAAGCCCTGCAATCACATTGGCTAGATTCCTCAGTTTTCTCATTTGTAAAATGAAGGTAACGATAGTACCTTCTGCACAGGGTTTTTGAGAAACATAAATAAGATCCTGCACATAAAGTACTTAGCTCAAAGCCTAAAATGCAATCGATGCTCCAAACATACCCTGCAGTTAGAGAAATTGTGGTCTAGGAAGGTTCATTACTGACCCAATGCTAAGCTAGGAAAGGGGGGATGGAGTTAACTTCAGTTTGTTGACGTCGGTGCTGTGCCTTTTTTGCCTCAAACTGTTGTCTTCTTCAATACACACAAGGTGACACAAGGGGCTCAAAAACCAAAAGGCAATTTCCCCCAACCTATCTGCCCACATTATAGTCACATGGCCTCCTCCTTCTTCAAAGCCAGCCCAGCAGGTCAAATCTTTTCCATGCTTTTCTGACATCCTCTTCTACTCTCAGTCTGGCGAGAGCTCTGCATTGAAGAGCTCATTGTGATTATCCAGTACCTGCTCAGACAGTTCAGGATAACTTATCTTAAGGGCAACTGATGAATAACTTTAATTATAGCTGCAGCATCCCTTTGCCATGTATGTAACATGTTTATGGGAATGGCACCAGGGAGGTGAAGGTCATGGGAGCCAAAAGTCTGCCTACCGCACACACTGTATATGATGACCGAGGACACACATACAAGGAAAGAAAAATTAATACCTTAAGTTGAACGCTCTGATGCTTTTATCATTTAAAAATGCTGGTGGCAACACGCTACATTGATTTTATGTCCCACGAATGGGCTGCAACTCATTAATTTGAATTTACCTTGAAAAAAGGGCCAGGATGTCCTTTTAAATTTCCATTTGCATTGATAACAGGAATCCTATGGAAGGTTTCCCAGGGTCTGTGTAACACCCGAAATTATATGAAAGGACTAATTAATCCCAAGAAAAACAGACGAACCCAGGTTTGGGATATTATACAGGATACCTGACCAGTATTACTCAGGGCTGTCTTTTTGAGAGATTTTCACTGTAGGGCGCGTGCGCTCGCCAGACAGACAGAGAGAGACATAGAGACAGAAAGCGAGAAATCACCCCCCAGAGGGGATGGTCACGCCGCAATCCCTTCTCCTCCATTCTCCTCTCGGGATCTTGGGCACGCACGCACACGCGCCCGGCGTGAGTTTTAAGCCACCGGGTCCAGGACACGAACCGCGGTCGACTACGTGGGAGTCCAGCGACATAGCCATTACGCTAACTGCTGGTTCCCTTCCATGCTTTTCTGACATCCTCTTCTACTCTCAGTCTGGCGAGAGCTCTGCATTGAAGAGCTCATTGTGATTATCCAGTACCTGCTCAGACAGTTCAGGATAACTTATCTTAAGGGCAACTGATGAATAACTTTAATTATAGCTGCAGCATCCCTTTGCCATGTATGTAACATGTTTATGGGAATGGCACCAGGGAGGTGAAGGTCATGGGAGCCAAAAGTCTGCCTACCACGCACACTGTATATGATGACCGAGGACACACATACAAGGAAAGAAAAATTAATACCTTAAGTTGAACGCTCTGATGCTTTTATCATTTAAAAATGCTGGTGGCAACACGCTACATTGATTTTATGTCCCACGAATGGGCTGCAACTCATTAATTTGAATTTACCTTGAAAAAAGGGCCAGGATGTCCTTTTAAATTTCCATTTGCATTGATAACAGGAATCCTATGGAAGGTTTCCCAGGGTCTGTGTAACACCCGAAATTATATGAAAGGACTAATTAATCCCAAGAAAAACAGACGAACCCAGGTTTGGGATATTATACAGGATACCTGACCAGTATTACTCAGGGCTGTCAAGGACATGAAAGAGGAAAGACTGAGACACTGTCACAGACCAGAGGACACTGAGCAGACATGACAAGGAAATGCAATATAGTATCCTGGATTGAACCTTCAAACAGGAAATAGATACTCATAGAACTAATGAAATCCAAATAAAGACTGGAGTGAACAATAACCTACAAATGTCAGCTTCTCAGTATTGACAAAGGTACCAAATAAAGTTGAAGTTAACAGTGATGAAATGAAGGGTATACAAGAACTCTCTGCATTACCTTTGCAACTTCTCTTTAAATCTAGTATTAACTTTTTAAAATTTGTATAGGGTGCTGCTCTGTAAACCTAGTATTAACTTTTTAAAATTTGTATAGGGTGTGTGTACTTCCCAGAGAAAGAAGAGAAAAAGAGAAAGTGAGAAAGCACCCCTGGGGGAGACAGCCACACAGCAACCTCCCATGCATTCATCTCTCAGGATCTGAGGCATGCACACACACGTACCTGGCCTGTTTTTCAAGCTACCAGGTACAGGACTGGAACTGCACAGTCTGTCATGTGGGATCCAGCTGCCTTAACACCATGTGACCAGCTGGCCAATAAATCTTGCATTATTTTCAAATGAAGTTTATTTTTAAAATGTTACAGAAGTAAACATGAATGTATCATTCCAGGGAGAAGATCCCATGGACACTGTAACTTCAAAGTAGTCCACCATCCAAAACTACTTAAGAACCACTGTCCGAGGCTTCTCACTGCTTTTCTTTAACACTGGTCTAAGTACTCTGCCTCCTTCCTGTCTTATCACCCACACTCTCTCAAAAAAACAAAACTTAGCCAGGGACTGGGGAAAGAGAATGGAGTTTCAATTTGGGAAAATATAATAAAGTTCTGGAGACAGCTGATGGCTGTACAACAATGTGAATATACTAATGCCACTGAACTATATATAACCAATGGTTTTAAAGTATTAAAACAGTAAGTTTTTTATTATGTAGATTTCATCATTATTTTCTCAAATGAGATATTGATACATGTTGCAGCATGGATGAACCTTAAAAATATTGTCTGAGTGAAAAAAGTTAGACACAAAAGACCACGTATTATATGATCCCATTCATATGAACACGTGCTAACGTTGACCATGGGGACTGCTGTACATCTGTGACTACACTAACAACCACTGAACTATACACTTCAACTTGGTGACTTACACCAAATGTGAGTTATAGCTACATGAAACTGTTAGGAAAAAATTTTAATTTGGTTCTCAATCTATTGGAACTCCCAAGGACAAACGGTATTCCAGAAATTCTAGAATCACATTCTGGTGATGCACACTGGAAAAATACAGAGCGTAAGTAATGAAAGGACTGCAGCTGAGAATGCTGGAGGGAAGATCGTGGCCACACTGGTTCTCCAGTCACAGGGCCAAGAATAAAGGTGAGATCAGAAAACATACTAGGCTGAAGCTGAGCAGAATTCTTTATTCTGGTCCTCATCATTCATAAGCCACCTACGCAGATGACATTCTTCATCTCTCCCAAAGAGGAGCAGCTACACCCAGGCCCAAAGTGGAAGACACGCGGTGGAAGACCTTGTAGAGAAATGCTAACAGATGAGATCTCTGTTCATCCCGGCTTAGAGAAGGCAGATCAGGATGAGCGTACTGAGTGCGAAGACTGTGCTTCAGAGCTGAGACCCACGGAGGGGGGTGAGCTGAAGGATGCAGGGGAAGGCTCCCAGAACTGCCAGGTCAGCAATCAATCCAAAGTGCCTAGAAATACAAAGAACAATACGTAAAGCAAGGATCTCAAGAACTGGAGTAATGAAACATACTCAGTAAAGTTAAATGAAAGGGACTTTGGTATTAGCAGTAGTTCTCTAAGATCAAAACAGAAATTCTGAAGGGTAGCTATCCAAAAGATTCCCAGGGGGGAAAAAACATGTCATTACAGAGTGTAGGCAAATGGAATTAAGCACATCAGTCTAGAGTCAGAATTAAAAGTGGAGAAAGGACTCAGCTGTTCTGTTAGTTACGGGGCATGCCTGAAGACCATCCAGGGATGAGTGACATGAAATAAGTAAGATAAGCCCTCAAGGTAAAGAGTTTATCGTCTTTTTAGAACGTTCCAGTTCAACTTTCAGGAACTAGTCAGGAACTGAACCCACAGGTTTGTATGTGCTCATCCAAGATTCCATTCAGACAGACAAAACAGTATGCAAAGGTATAAATCTATCTACCAGAGCATCAGCAGTTGAGATTTGGACAACAAAAAGTTTACAGAAATCTGACTGAAACACTGTCATAAACAGAAGAGGGAAATGAGCCTAGAACAGACACGTAGAGGCAGCTGAGGAGGAAGCCCCCTAACCTGGGGGAGTCCTGGGGAGGCTCAGGACTTAGTCACCAGGAATGACAGAAAGAGATGCGAACAGATACGGATTAAGGACCATGGTCTCTAGGAGAAACCATTGTTGCCATCTCCCCACTCTCCCTACATGCAGCACACTACCGGAAGACAGGAATGTAAACCTAATTTGGAAAAAAATGCAAGGTTCTCTAAAAAACTAGATAACCTATGTGGAGAGAGCTAGCGCAGCTGCTGCAAGTGCCAACCTGGCAGTGAAGCCACAGGCATGCTGGCCTGGAGGCCATACATTCACCCTGGAGCAAATCTGCCAGACAACCACCACCCCCACTCCACCCCTTATGCGCAGATGCACTTCCCAAAGCTTTAGTTCCTCCATCTTAAATAGATGAAAATCACTAAGTAGTTGAAGAATGACTATATATAAAAAAAGACCAAAATTTATTATTAAAAAAAGACGACCTAGAATAAAAGATAATTTGGGAAAGAAAAAGAACACATACAAAAAAAAAAAAGAAAGTGCGACATCTACAATTTTAAAAAGTCTCTGCTTTTGATAATGGCAAGTTCCTGTTGAGATCGATTCATAAAACAAAATATATAAAAAGAAAATCTTTCAGGTATTGAAAAGGTATCAAGAAAAAAATACATCTGAAATCCAGACAACACAAAGTAAACCCCACCTCAGAACTAGCAGATGGTGTAATGGTTACATCACTAGATCCCATGTAGTCGACTGCAGTTTGAGTCCTGGACCTGGTGGCTTAAAACTCACACCGGGCATATGTGCATGCCCAAAATCCCGAGAGGAGAATGGAGGAGAAGGGATTATGGTTTGGCCATCCCCCCGAGGGTTGATTTCTCACCTTCTGTCTCTCTGGTGAACACACATGCCCTATAGCAAAAATCTCTCTTAAAAAAAAAAAAGTAATACCAACCTCCACAGCTACCTCTGCCCTGGAAGCAGCTGCCAATCTAAAAGAGCTAAGTAGACTACAATTTTGGCAGACTGAGGGAACCAAGAAGGCCTCCCAGTTAGGAAAATTTCAAATAGACATGCATAAAGCTTTATAATATATACAAACAATATTCCATTTAAAGCTTTCAATCTTGAGAGGGCTTAGCTCTTTCAAATTCAGGAACTATAAAACAGGACAGTATGTGAAATACTGCTATAAAAAAGTTGGACAACAGGAAACACAGTTCCCTAAAGATAGGAAACAAGTAAAATAAAAAATGAGATTATCACCAATCACTGCCTAAAGCAAGTTCCCAAAATGGAAGCTAAGAAGGAATCAGTCAGGGAAGAGTTCAATTTGGGGAGAACAAAGTGGTGAACACACATGCCCTATAGCAAAAATCTCTCTTAAAAAAAAAAAGTAATACCAACCTCCACAGCTACCTCTGCCCTGGAAGCAGCTGCCAATCTAAAAGAGCTAAGTAGACTACAATTTTGGCAGACTGAGGGAACCAAGAGTCAAATCCCAGAGAGACAGGAAAGGAGAAAGCGCCCCCACACACACCCCAGTGGAGCACAGTCACACCACAATCCTTTAGCCTCCGTTTCTCCATCCTGCCAGCACTGGGGTCACGCGTGAATATTCACCTGACATGCTTTTCAAGCACTGGGGCTAGGATTCTAACCATGGTTACCATGCAGGATCTGGCTCCCTTAACCAATAACCCACAAAGCAGGCCCGACTTTGATTTTTAAACATAGATATATACCACCTTGCTTCAAAAAGTTATCTACTGAGGACATACACATCTAAGGGCAGATGAACATTTAGTTTACTAGGTACATAAAAATATAAGCTGAATCTATCAGAGTTATGATGCCCTGAATTTAGATCTACCAATGTAAGAACAGAGAGATTCGATCACCGAGATTATTGGAACAGAGGATGAAAATGAACACATCAATCATTCAATAAATAACCATTTTTTAAAAGCCCAAGATAAGCACTATGCCAGAAGCCAGCGTGGAAAACTGCACAGGCTCTCTTGGCTTCTATTCCTGGTACCCTCCCATTGATTATCCACGGGGCAACAGCATTAGATTTTTAAGATACAAATTTGATCACATTGCTCGTCTCTTTGAAAAGCTGGAATTAAAAATGAACAGGTAACATAGGCTTCAAACATTTTGATTGGAGAACTTACTGGAAGTCAGCCACAAGACGTCGCCTACCTTAGGTGGGCAACAAACTTATTTTTTAGAAAAATGGGTAGGCAGGGAATAAGGCCTAAAAAAAAGATCTACATATTAGACAATAATCATCGAGGCTTCATGCTAGCCATGGAAATGTATCTATTAAGACATTTAGAAAATAAATATCGAAGCAGCCTCGGTTGATAAGCAGATGCAGAACAAAAGAGTAAAAACTGTAAAATAAATAAATCAAGAGACGATTCCTGAAGGTAACGAGGCTTGAAGGAGGCAACAAAAATATCCTGGTAGGGTGAAACTGCGGATGAATTGAGGGCATGAGGCTTTCACAAAACTATTTAATTAAAACATGGAGTGAAAAGTAAGCTGATCAGATACAGGAATTAAGTAGAAGAAACAGCTCTGAAAGAAGGTAGATAAAATTGAGTATTTCAAACCTTTGTTATTTTAATGAAAGATTTCATTAGTACAAAGTTAATCTACAATTCCTAAGAAACATAGATACGAGTAAGTACAGAAATTCACTACAGAAAATAACAACCTTACAAAGATTGCTGAAAAATAAAAAGGACCAACAGGTGACCCTTTAAATATTGGCAAGGGTTTTTGAACTTTAGCACTATGATGAGTGGGTAAGATTTACTTTTAGGAATACAGACCGAAGTAGAAATCAAACTTTTGAATCTTCCTATCTCCTTACATATTTCCTCTCTTTTCCTTATGGTGAGCAATTTTCAAGTGGAAGTGTTAATTCCCCAAGGGAGGAAACACTCTCCCTAGATTTAGCAATCTAACATTTTTCCTATTCTTACAGAAAGTAGGGAGAAAAGCATATACTTCTACATACACAAACGAGGAAGTACCAGGCAACTATTTAATAAAGTTTTGAACTCACGTTGTCAGCATGAAAGATGGTGTAAATGACTGGAACTCACCTTCCAGAAACGCAAATTCATCCACAGCTTCTATTGCATTATCTGAAACACAAGGTCAAGGGACATCTGCTTTATCTCATCATTTAAACACCCCCCTAACACAGCCCAATCCACACAGTGAAGGAAGTGCATGAGGCTTTAGGCAAATGAAGTCATTTATAAAACTTGTCCCTTTGTTGTCCTGCAATCCATTTCTGCTCCACTACCAATTCTTCTTTATTATTACAGCAGTCTCTCTACAAAAGAAAAGCCTGGGGACCAGCATTTGGCATAATGGCTGTCGATGGACTCCCATGTAGTCGACCATGGTTTGAGTCCCGGGCCCAGTGGCTTAAACTCACACCATGTGCATGCGTGCTCAAGATCCCAAGAGGAGAATAGAGAAGAAGGGATTGTGGTGTGGCCGTACTCCCTAAGGGGTGATTACTCACTTTCTGTCTCTCTGCCTCTGTCTTTCTGGGGAACACACACACTCTATAGTAAAAAAAAAAAAAAAAAAAAGAAAGAAAGAAAAGAAAAAAGCCTAGACAAATACTTTTCAATGGGGGAAGGTGGGGAGAATGGTACTTCCTACAACCTTCATTTACCTCTAAGTTTATTCTCTCTCTATGCTCATAGTCATCAGATAAAGAGTTTGGCAATATAGGAGAGGGAATGAGAACACCATGTAAGAAGGCTTACACACGTACAGGAGTACCAGCTAGACAAAGAATCAGAAACCAACCCCCAGTTGCTAGGTGGAAAAAAAAAGGTCTTTTTCTGGTATGAAAGTAGAAATCAAACTTTTGAATCTTCCTAACTCCTTACATTTCTTCCCTTCCTAACTCCTTACATTTCTTCCCTTTTCCTTATGGTGAACAATGATTTCTTTATATGGCAGAAGGTATGAAGGGGTCTAGTCAGCTCCAGCAACCCCAACTCTCCCTCCTACAGCTCAAAGCATAGAGCCTCTAAGGTGGGACTTACTGGCATTGTGGCAGGCCAACAGGACACATTACAGGGAGAGACCTGCAGTACCCCTGGTATCACAGTGATGCACTCTCAGCTAGAGGGAGAAGTCCGGCCCAGCCCTCCCTTGTCTGCGCCCAGAGACCACAGTGACACTCTACCCAAATCTCTCCTCTGGAGGGTTTTCCTCTTTCCTTGCTGAGCACAGCAGTAGGCATCTTTTGCAATGGTCTCCACAAAGAGTTCCTGTGAAGCAAACAAGCAGTTTTATCAAGAGGTGCTGAACCAAGGGTGTGAACTAGCACTCCTGTTTGTGAGTGGTGGGGGGAGTGAAGGGGACTCAGGTGCAAGAGGAGGTCTGGACCTCGTGAAGATGGAGGTTGCTACCTATCCTCTCCCCCCAGGCCAGAACGATGCGTCCCTCCTCCCTTAATGGTGAATCCAACCCACATATTCACTTGATTCTGCTACTGCGTTAGACACTGGGGATGCAAATTGAAGTCGTGGTCCAGACGCACAAAGGGGCAGGTATGTTAACAAACCTACACAATTCCCGTATGTACGGGACCCTTACCCTCGGGCCTGCCCGGTCTACACTCAGGCCTCGAATCCAACCCTAACACCTGTCTGAATCACCACTCCCTCGCACACTCGGCCCGCCTCTGCCCCCCTCCTCCCCAAGTCCCAGCGAGCTGCGCCAAGCCCCGCCCCGGGAGCCCCGAGGCCCGCCCCTCGCCGCGCTCCCGCCCACTCCCGCCTGCCCTCGCGCTCCCGCCGCACCGCGGCTCGTGCCAGACTG